GGGGGGGGGGGACCAAGACCACGCCTGATACCAGGACACCCCCAGCTCGGCCACCACTGGCTGTGTGGCAGTGACCATGTTGCTAAGCCTCTCTGAGCCTTGGTTTTCTCATCTGTAACCGGAGAAGAGGGAAAGCTAGCACATAGGGTCATTTTAGGGACTGGGGCCATTCGGGCCCAGACCAGGTGGTCCGCACGGCTCAGTGCGTGGGTTTTCTGCAGTGCGACAGGTGTCCTTGTCCGTCCCTCATGCTGTTTCCTGGAACCTCCTCCTGTAGCCTCACCGTCTCCCTCCTCCTGGGCCTTGTTTGATTGTTGTGAGATGTCACCTGCTCAGCAAGCCTCCCCTCGGGGCTTCATTGTCTTTCTTGGCTTTGTTTCTCTCCACAGCCCATAGCTCTTTTCTAGCATCTTCTGTAGCCTCATGATTTGGGTTACTGTGTCTTTTCCCACTCGAATGCAGACCCCGTGAGTGCTGGGGCATTCGCCCCTACCATGTCTGTCTCCCTGGTGGCCACAATAGTGTGTGACACCTATGGGTGGTGGTATCCTTCCCCAAACATCTAAGGGCCGTGTGCTCCCCTCCTGCAGATCCTGATATACCACCCGGCCTTCATCAAGTACGTCTTCGACAGCTGGCTGCAGCGCCATGGGCGGTACCCATCCACCGGCATCCTCTCAGTCATCTTGTCCCTGCACATCTGTGACGAGGTAGGCACCCCCTCGCCTGTGCCCGCCAGCCGCACCGGGGACCAGGGCTCCTCATTCCCTGCTCCCAAGGGTGGCGGAGAGAGCATCTGTGGTCAAGCTGACCTTGATCCTGACCCCAGGCCCCAGCGGGCCTGGCGGTGCCGCCCCTGCGGGGCTTTGAGGGGCAGAGGCCTGTGAGAATGCCTTCAGGGGCGAGCGCTGGCTCCTCCTGTGAGCTCCCCAGACGGAGGCAGGACCAGCCGGTGAAAGTGCGGGTTTGGGGGCAAAACAAAGGAGCGATTGTCGTAGGAGATCTGTATGAAGTGCTGTTCTGAGTCGGAGCTCAGTCCCGGCACCCAGAACCCACCCCAGGCCCGCTTCTACCAGAATTTCTGAGAGTGGGAACCTGTCCCCCAAGGTTGGCAACCAGAGGCCTTGGGAAGCGTGAGTCCCCATCATGGACTTCCCTCGACATCTGCCAGGCGGCGCCGGGTTTCCATGGATGATCTGGGCTGTTCCCTGCCACCCTGGGCAGAAGAACGGAGGGGCCACAGTGCCCCTCACTTTCTCCCTGGCCTTGGGTTCAGGCAGGACCCTGAGATGTCCCTTCTTGTCACGTACAGCCTGTCCCCACCCCCAGCCTGCTTAGCTCATGGTTGGAAACCCAGGAAGGGGTGGAAGCATTGCCAAGCATGTCCATCATCCCTACCTTGCTTGTCTGTCACCACCCCTGTCTCTTTAGCCAGAAACCTGGGTGCCTCTCCCAGAAGCATATCTGCCCCA